GTTTCCAATGAACCCAAGCAACGTTAAATATTTCTGCAGTAGATTTTATACCTCATTGCTAATTTTACACTAAACAAACACTGCAAAAGGAAAAAACAGACCTTTATGACACAAGAGGAAAAAAAGTAATTCCTGTCTTTCCCCATAACGCCTACATTTCCAGAAAACCAGGGACCTGATCCTTCAACTGTATACATTTAATTTTACTCTCGTGGGCAAACTTAATTATTTTAATAGAAAAAAATCATATTAAGAACAGTAAACAAGTACACATGTATTCTGGACTGAGGACAAGAGAACAAGTTGGGCATTTTGCACAGTAATTACTTCAATAAACACATTTTACTTACATGAGGAAAAAGGTTACAAAACAACAAAGTGCACATTAAACATTTCAACACATCAATCATTCAAGTATACACAGACCACTGTATATAAAAGCTCTGCTCTGCTGTGGCATGAGACTGAACTCCACTGAACATCGTGCATTTCAACTGCTTCAAGCACAGTTAAATTCAATCCAAACTCAGTGGGAAATTTTCCATTGACTTCAGAGTATGAAACTGTTGTGGAGTTGGCTCTCCTGAGTTTTTTCAAGAAATAAGTCAGGGCAAAAACGAATCTTTCACATCACAGAGAAATCCAACTAACAAGAACAAGCGCATAAGAGTTACTCTCAAGCATCTTGTGACAAGATTCTGTCAGAAGTTGAGGATTTCATCATTCTTCTCTTCCTCTCCCTCCAAGTCTTGTTTTGATACAGAAATCATATGCATGGATTTTGTTTAAACTGGAAAGGCATGTGCCAGATGAGCTGAACACACAGAACAATGCACCACATACAGCAGGACCAGGCATGCTCAGCCACTGAACACCTGGCTGCATGCAATTTGCTTTTTGAGTGAGAGTTGCCCTTGGCTGGGTGTTTCTCTCACTGAACTGTATCAGTTTTCCCTTTCTGTCCTTCATTATTTCATTCCATAAGGAATCTGAATTAGGGATACCTGCCTTTCAAGTGTGAAAACGGCTGGACTCTAGAGGGTTCTGCATTTCATACTTCAAGAATCATGAGGAGAACGCTATCTACTCCTGTTAGGTATACGAATATGCTGCCAGATGGCCCAAGTGTCCAGATCCTTGCTTGAGCTGTGCTTTTTGTGTAGGCAGATAAATGTCCTTGAAGGCCAAAAATAAAGTATATAACAGAACAGAAAAAAAAAAAAAAAAAAAGAAAAAACCCACCAAACATCTGATCTATGAGAAGCAAAATGGCACTACGTGATGCTAGCTCCTAGCCAGTCCCATGGCACTTGCAGCAGGGAACTTGGGTGACTGGACTGACTGCCAAATTTGGGTATCCAAAACGAAGATAACATCACTGTAGTTTTGTCTTCACTACAATGCCAAGGTAAAAGGAAATTTTTGTTTGTTTTTCCAATGAGAAGCTGTGGCATTGTAACCATAAGTGTCTTGGCAATCATCTCACAGCAATACGTGTAAAAAACAGAGTATAAACCAAGTCATTCAGGGCAAATATGCCTTAAATAGCCATTTCTCTTGACCCAGTTTCTGAATTAAATATCAACCAGCAATAGCATATTACTAGATGAACTGCACACTTACAGATGAGGTACAACAGATACGACATGGCTTCTTCCCTAAAGAGAGCCAGTAAATAATGCACTTCTTTTACAGGACAGCAAAGATACCAAGAGAGGGGAAAAAAAACAAAACAACACACCCTTCTATTCAGAAGAATTGAAAAGCACTTAGTATTTACATCTTACTAGAAAATAAACAAAGGTAAAGAAGAGGGCAACACTGTTCCCATTGATACTGTGCAACATTTTAAGGTTTTCCTTAAAACTTCCCCATGGAGGGCGACTCCACCACCTCCCTGGGCAGCCATTTCAGTGCCTGACCACTCTCTGAGAGAAAAAATGTCTCCTCATGTCCAACCTAAACCTCCTCTGGTGCAACTTGTGGCCATTTCCTCGGGTCCTGATCGTTGCCTGGGAGAAGAGGCCAAATCCCTCTTCTCCACAACCTCCCTTCAGGAAGTCATAGAGTGCAGTGAGGTCTCTACTATGCCTCCTCTTCTCCAGACTCTTCACCATTAGTTAGAAGAACCATTCAAAACTATATTGGTATCTTAGCCATAACACTCAACATAGAATCTCTTTTGTATTAACAAACAAGTTAGAAATCAATGAAAACATTCTGCCTGCTTTGATGGCTTTTTGAGTTTACACCCTCACTGACGTTCAGGCAACACCAAGATACACCCTGGGAACAGAAACAAACTCTTTCCTGACTCATCATATTCCAAAACGAACTGCAGGAGGCAGGTATGGATATGGGAGTGAAGAAGAGACAATCACAAGCCATTAATATAAATTTCCCTTTAAGAATTCAGTAAAGAAAGTACACAGTTATAAGGGAAAGCATTAGGCATTTCAGATGTTGTAGCAATGCTGTCAAAAATCAGTTTTTAAATGCATCTCACAGTATTTGGAAGTGTTTGTTTGGTTTGGTTTCTTAAAACCAGCTCCTGGATGTAGAAATCTCTTTTCTTTAGACGAGAAGCTTTTAGCTCTTCAGTGAGGCATTATCCACAGCAACACCCAGACACAATAACTTAATCAGAAACAAAATATAGTCTGTTCAGTAGCAAAAGGAGGCCAATAGCAAATCTAAAGGAAAGTTTAAGGGAAGAGACTGGTGTGGAAATATAAATCAAGAGCAAAGCAGACATAAGTGACAAACAGGATTTCCAAGAACGGGTAGCAAGGGCTGAGCAGCATCTTGAAAAAAACACACAATCATGATTGAAGAGGGAATTAAAATCATTGTGTGATTCTAAAACATTTAAATACTTGGCTTTCAAAACATAATATTTGTTGAATGATTATTCTTGGAACTGTTTTTAGCACTTCTATGTACACGGATCCTTGCGTTCCTGAATATCAATATTTGCTACTCAAACACAACTTCAGTGTCAGCTTAAGATGGAAAGATTGAAGTCATTACATTAAAAAATACTGTTATCATCTGAAGATAAATACTTACTGTAAATCAAGCAAAATAAGCTTTATAATGAGAAAAAAAAAACAAACCACCTTTGTTGCTTTTTGCTTATTTTACAATTGTTAGAAAAGAGGAGCACAGTAAATGAAACAGTATCCACAACACTGCCACTCATCTTTAAGGTTCTCCTTGTGAAGAGTTCTTTGCCTTTCTGCTTTCTGTGTTAGCAAAGAGTCCCCTTCTCTTAACAGGACATAACACATGGCACTACACAGTGACTGAGGCCAAGGGAGTAGGAGGAAAAGCTGAGGAGCTAGGTACTCTAATGGCTGGCTAGGCTACAAGAAAACAACCTCATCATCAATTATTTCTAATCTAGCTACTTTGCAGCTTCGTAGCTCTTGTTGCTGCATTATTTTTAATTGTTCACTCAGTGAAAAAACTCCCAGTTCTGTCTCCAACACAGTTCTGAAATTAGAGTAAAAACATACACGAGCTGCTTACAAGTTTGCAGATTGCTACAGAAATGCTTTGAATATTCTTCTGATGTTTATCTCTGATCATCTATCTAGTTAATATGAAATGCTACATCCCCATAGAAGTATACTGTGGGAAGCAAGACTCATGTAGCCTTGCTACTCCATTTTCTTGCAGACAAGTTTTCTATGATAAACACAGAGTCTGTAAGTTCTGCACGTCCTGGTGCACTTCAAGCAAAATAACTTAAAGACAAACCAAGGCTCCAGAACCTGAGGGATAAAGAAACTTATCTGTTCATTTAAGGCCTTCCAGAAATGCCTTAACTGTAAGAAACCAACAATCAAAAAACATTAACTCACACTTCATAGAATCACAGAATGGCCAGGGTTGGAAGGGACCCCAAGGATCATGAATCTCCAACCCTCTGCCACATGCAGGGCCATTTAATACCAGACCAGGCTGCCCAGGGCCCCATCCAACCTGACCTTGAACACCTCCAGGGACGGGGCATCCACAACCTCTCTGGGCAGCCTGTTCCAGCACCTCACCACTCTCATAGTAAAAACCTTCCTCCTGACATCTTATCTAAACCTTCCCTCCTTCAACTTAAAACCATTTCCCCTCTTCCTGCTATTATCTACCCTTTCAAAGAGTCAGCTCCCATCCTATTTGTAGGCTGCCTTTAGGTACTGAAAGGCAGCAATGAGTCACCCCGCAGCCTTCTTTTCTCCAGGCTGAACAAGCCCAGCTCCCTCAGCCTGTCTTCATAACTTAAACCTCTGGAAAACTGTTTCACACATTTGGATCCAAACAGATAGATCGCTGTAATAAAAGGTACTCTGCACAGCATCTGGCTTAAAAAGCTGTTCCCATAAAGCAGCAGTGATTAACTCATTGGAGCCTTATTTCTTCTTTTCAGTTGCAGCAAGAGTTTAAACTTCATCGTGATTGTGTGAAAAGTTATGCTCCTAGTAAACTCCAGGAGGCAAAGACATAAAATCATTGTGCCCGAAGAAAGTAACAAAATATTCTGTGGTGCTTCCAAAATCTTGTAAAGACTGAAAAATGGGATCCGGTCACCATCTCACCATGAAGCAAAGAGCAGCCCACACATTGGCCCACAAACAGCAGAGTGCATTCAAACAACAGCTTGCACAAGGCTGACATCGCAACACCACTTTCACATACAATAAATAAATAGAGTGCAACTAAAATATATGATGCTGTCAGCAAACAACCACCACAGTATAAATAACTGAGACATTCTAATTTCTCAGTTTTATCTTAAACAGAAACACAAATAACTTATTGTTGAGATTACAGTTCTACAGTACTAATTCAAATCCAACAAAGAAATTTCATCATTCCAATACCACTGATTTTTAGCCACTTGTGTGCCAGATTTATCCAGGAACATTTCTGATACTGAAATTGAGTGTGCCTATTCCAAATCATCACATTTCCAAACTTAAAATGAACAAAAAGACACTTACCAGGAATAATCATGAACAAGAGCCTGGGTAGATTTTTACTTTCATCCTTTGAGAGGTCTTTCCAGGGCCCACACTTTAAAACATGGGTAGCAGCTCCACAACAGTAGATAAATTCTTCGTGCAATGGTACTGGCTCTTCTGACACTGATCTCATGTTTGCTGTTAGACAGAACAAGACACTGTTATAACAGATTGGCAAATACTTACATATCTGGCTCTTTGCTATCATAACTTTCCATATTCCCGTAGAATAACTGGGAAAAAAACCAAGAAACTATAGATTAAGAACAAGAAGCCTAGATTAACACAGCACTGATGTGGGTATCTATCTGAAAGCCAACTCCTATTACAGAATACAGTGACCTATGTTGCAGCACATGGACTGATTCCCAAACAGCTATGAGACACATACTTTTCTACCTTAGGATGAAGCAAGCGATCTTCTACTCAGCAAAGCCTATTGTGAGACCTTGAACACATCTGACATACTCAAAGGCACTTACAAACAGATCTGTACACTCAGGTGTTTTACTACAGATCAGGACTCCATCTACTGCCATTGCATTGGGTGAGAACACTCAGAGCAGTAGTAGATGGCTGCTGCCACACAGCTAGGACTCTTCAACGTTCATCCTTATTTCAGTTGACTCCAAAGTAAAACACTAAAAGCAAAAAACAACCTTCCTTTGCATGCACAATTCTTCATTACTTATGCAGTTGTTCTCATAACATACTAATCACTCTATCCTACAGTGTTACTTAGGCTTGTAATTACTTGGATTTGAAAGATCGCTTGGTAACAACATTTACAATCTGCATTTAAATACCATTTGATGAAAGGAACTTGTCCTAGCACTGCATAACATAACCAGAGTAAGCTGTTAAAAATTTCACCTATAAATTGCCCAGTCACAAGACAGGACAAACAGGCTGCTGCCTCTTCTGAAGAATGCTACATAAGTGAGAGGGACAGTGGTAATCCCAAGGACAACAATAAGCCCCAGAGAGCAGTGCTGGAGCCAAAGTAAAGGAGAAGGGTACAGCAAAGCAGACTTGATATATGCAACTTCACAAAAGTACGTAAAATACACCCCAGGGTGTCCAGGAAGCTGGCATGATTACTACAAGCCTACTCTCTATCCTTTTTGCTACTGACTGAAGAAGTGCTCAAAACTTACAAGAAGGCAACCATCATGCACTTGCTCAAGACAGAGGATGCAGGGAGCTACAGGTCAGTCAGCCTCACCTCAGATCTCACTGAGCCACTAAGGAAAATCCTCCCAAAGTTGTAAGCACATAAACATGACTGAGAGCATACGAAAAGGATTTGGCATAATCTGTCCAAATAACTTCATTACCTTCTACAAAGAGACAAATTACTCAATGGCTGATGGAAGAAATCTTGATGTTGCTTAGCGTACCTTGAGCAAGACTGCCTCCCACAATATTCTTCTGATCAGAGTAGCAAGATGGAGATTAGGCAAGCAGACTATAAGGTACTGTTGGGGGGAAAAATAACACAAAGCTAAACAAAAAGAACATAACAAAGAAAAAAAAACTTAGCAGCAACATCCCTCAGGAATCAATATTGAGCCAATACTGTTCAACGTCTTCATTAAGTACCTGGATAATGTGCTATGAAGCACTTGTCAGCAGGTTTGTGCATGATACCAGTCTGGAAGTCAGAGCAAGAATCACTTGGAAGGGACCCACAAGGATCAAGTCCAATGCCAAGCTCCACACAGAACCACCTGAAATTCAAACCCTATGCCTGAGAGCATTGTCCAACTGCTCCTTGAACTCCAGCAGTTTGGGGCTGTAACCACTGCCCTGTGGAGCCTGGGCCAAGGTACAACCACCCTCTGGTGAAGAACCTTTACCTAATACCCACCTGCCATTCCCTTGAGTCCCATCACTGTCATCACAGAGATCAGTGCATGCCCTGTGCTCCCCTCATGACGCTGTGTGCTGAACAAAACAAAAGACTACTTTGCCTCTAGACAGTGTTGCTCTCCAAATGGATGTTGGCCTGACAGAAACCACATGAAATCCAATGGCAAACAAAGTCCTACACCTACAGTTCAACACTGCAATGTGGCAGTACAGGCTGGGTGCACACAAGAGTAGCTTTGCAGGAAAAGCAAGAGGACAACAAGCTGAGCATGAGTCAGCAGCGCGGCCTTGGGAAAACGAAGGCCAAGAGTACAAACGCTGCAATAGCAAGAGTAGCCACCTGGTTGATGGACATGTTTATTTTTCTTCAAGCGCTGGAGAGAATGCATCTGGAGTACTGTGTCCAGTTTTGGATTCCTCACTACAAACACAACATTCACAGACTGGAGAAAGTCAATCAGATGACAAGACGATAGGGGTGCAGAGGCACACAGTGGATGTCCAAAGGACAAGGATTAACAGTTAAAAGTTGTACTTTCCTCTGAAGCCAAAAAGAGGTTAAGCTGTAATCCAGTACCAGCCTAGCCCTACTTGAGAGGTACCTACAAAGACAGCCCTGCCAAACTTCTCTTTGCGATGACAGATGGTAAGCCAAGAAACAGCAGTCACAAGTTGTGCCTCCAGAGATGCACATTATGAAAAACTTAATCGCTAAGAAAGCAGCAGATGACAAGTCTGAGAGATAGTGGAATCTCTATTGCTGGAAGTTTTTCAGACACAGCTGGATAAAAGAATATTTTTGTATTATTCTAGCAAAGGTAGCAGAGGGCTTCATGAATAGGTGACAGTAATAAATTATATAGATCAGAAAAAAGGTCTCTGAACTAGGTCAGCCCCCTAAAAAACAAAGGGAATGGAAACAGATGCATTCCATTGATTGACTCTACAAATTTTATTATTATTATTTTTAATAAACACCATCCTAATTGGTGAGTTTTGTGACTGAATTCAGTATCAAAGTGCAAAAGACTAACTAGAAAGGTAGTGAGATTGCTCTTGCTGACTGCTAGAAACAAAGGCTCTGACAATTTCTGCAGCATTATCCCCAGAACAGAATAACCCAGACCTGCCACAAGCTCTTTGATTTGCAGACAGGAATACGCTCACAGCTAAGAGCTGGCAGCAAAAGGAACAGACATACTGCGTGATAGGAAACCTGCAGTGATGAATGGGGGCTGGAATGAGGATGCCCAGATCTCATCAAGAATCGCTTTGGACAAACTACAGCCAAACAGTGTCAGATTTTTTTATGGAAAAATTAAAAGTGTGGGTCAAAGACTTTGTAATACGATGCAATATCCGTCACAAACTTTGACTTGTTTTATGTAAGGAAATCAGCAGAAGTCAGTGGCAGATGAAACTGAAATATTTTTGCATTTTATTTTACTGTATAATTCTGTTAGCTGTATGACAGAATTGCCATGCTAGCCTCTTTCAGGCTGAAGAAAGAATTCATTTTAAAAGGTCCAGATTTTAGGGATTCAAAACAGGAATACATGCCTCTGTTGAGTGCTGCAAACAGAAATGGGGACCTACGGCTGTAAATGTCTACCAGTGATTAACATAATGAACAGAGCAACCTCAACAGAAAAACCTCTTGCCTTCATTCACCATCAAACTTGTTCCAAAAAGACTGCACCAATATGAATAGTTTCAGAGAGTTCTGGAGGTATGAAGTTAAGAAATCACAAAACACTGCTAGAACCCACAATGATACATATCTACATTGTTCTGGTACAAAATTATTTTATGAAGACAGCAGTCAAAAACCCTGGAGAAATGGATTAGGGAAGCTCACCTTAACACTGACCACTCATTAGATCACACAGAGAGTATTGGTTTAAACAGAGTTCATCACATACTTAGCACAACATAAAAGAAATCAAATGGAGTTTTTGTTAGTTAACATAAATGATGAACTGTAATAAAACTGCTACTGCACTCTTTGTGTTGATTTTCAACAGCATAAAACAGCAAATGAAAGACTTCCAAGACTGCAAGGCACAATGACAACTTCTAAGAAAACAGTCACAGCTGAAAGCATCAACTACTGGTCTACTGCACTCAACAGAATAGACAAGGGAAACCAACTTTTCATTGTAGTTCTGGTAATAACACACTAGTTTTTATTTTTGGTCTCTCTTCCCCTTCGGCAAGGATCTCAGTTTCTGTTTGTGCTGAATCTCCTTCACAAAGCCCTTGAATCATAGCATAATTTGGGTGCAAAGGGGCCTTACAGATCATCCAGTCCCACCCTCCTGCCATAGGCAGAGACACCTCCCACTAGATCAGGTTGCCCAGAGTCCCTATCCAACCTGTCCTTGAACACTCCCCAGGGATGGGGCATCCCCAGCTTCTCTGGGCAGCCTGTGCCACTGTCTCATCTCACCACTCTCTGAGTAAAGAACTTATTCCTAATGGCTAATCTAAATTTCCCCTCTTTTTGTTTAAAACTATTATTCCTTGACCTATCGTTACAATCCCCAATTCAGTCCCACTCCAGCTTTTGTCTAGACCCCTTTTAGGTACTGAAAGACTGTTGTAAGGTCTTACCAGAGCCTTTGCCAGGCTGGAGGCCCCCAGGTCTCAGCCTGCCTTTGAAGGAGAGATGCTCCAGCCCTCTGACCATCCTTCTGACACTCCAGAAAACCTGCTCCAACAGCTCTAAATCTTTCTTTCTGGGGGCATCAGACCTGGATGTACTACTCCATATGGAGCCTCACAAGGGCAGAGCACAGAGGGACAATCACCTTCCTCACCCGGCTGGTCACACTGCTGCGATACAGCTCAGGATACCACTGGCTTTCTGGGCTCCAAGTGCACATTGCCAGCTAACGTTCATTTTTTTTGTCCATCAACACCTCCAGTCCTTCCCTGCAGGGCTGCTCTCAGTCCACAACTGAAAGCCCATTATATTTGCCTGGAGCTCAAATAGATAAAGCCATGCCCTTACTAGGTAGGCCAAACAGTCCCCCCATTTAGCATTGTAACTTGCTGAAGTTAGAGGTAGGAATGCTACATTTCATGAACAAAGCTGTAAGAATCCATTCCATTGATATCTGAAAAGAAACACTATGGAATTCAAATTTCAGCACATGTCACTACCTAAAACAGGGCATGTTCAAAATGCAACAAGTACGTTAATTACGTTGGAGAAGAGATGATATGGGCCTTCACAGGTAACTGAGTCAGCAAAAGAGGAATGCAGCACACACTGCAAAAGAAATAAAGAGAAAATTAAGGGCATGTGCATAAAAAGAAATCTAGAAGGAGGAGCATGAAGGAAGGAGAGACCACAGGCACATGTCAGAATCACAGAATCCTAGAATCACCAAGGTTGGAAAAAGCCTCTAAGATCATCCAGTCCAACTGTCCACCTATCACCAATATCTCCCACTAATCCATGTCCCTCATTACAACATCTAAATGAATCTTCCCTGCTGCAAAGTCAGGCCGCTCCCTCTAGTCCTATCACTCGTCACGTGGGAGAAGAGGCCAACCCTCACTATACCACTACTTCCCTTCAGGGAGTTGTAGAGTTCTAAGTTCTCATTTCTTATCCTAATTCAAACATCCCACGCAAGCCACATTTCTATTGGATTGTTGCTTAAGTCATATACGTAGCCTGGACAACAGTCAACAGCAACAAAGAAATAAGCACAAATTTAAAGTAATGGTAATCTATTCATTTCTTTAAACCAGAGCACCTGAAAATCATGATTTTGAAGAAACTTCCATCTTTCAGCAGCATTAACAAGAAGCAAAAAAAAAAAAAAAGGTATCTGCCACTTCATCTAATGTCAAAATAACTCCTTTTTCACCTATTAGATTCAAGGAGGTCTACACATTCTTTGTTCTTGTTAAGCAGGCAGAGCTCAAAGAGCATAATGAATACAAGTTGACAACAAAGAAAAAAAAAAACAAAAAAAACCCAGAACTCTACACCATTCAATTATCACCAGGCTGTCCTTCACTTGGCTTCCCCTACCTGTACTGTACTTCCCCCTGTATTGCTAAGCATGCATCTTTTTATATACAGTAAAAAGGAACAGCTACTCCTTTTTACTATGCTACTTTATGTTTCTTCCATATTTTTGCCTTATCTGTTCTAACACAAGCTTGAATTCAAAACACTTTTTTCTATTTCTCATTTTATTTTTTCAAATTACATGCCTTCGCATCAATGCTTCACTCACCTTCATTTCCAGCATCTAGCTACTGCTGCTTTTCTTGCTTTCCAGCAAGAACAAAGTCGTCAAAATACTGCTTACCAACAGCAGGCCAACTTACTGTTCTCTGAGCACCATTCTACAATTACCTCTCTACTTGTGTTTGCTGCTTACCACCTCCTGCCTATCTTCTGCAGCACTTCCCAATTCATTTATTAACCTAAACAGGCTCTAAAGGCACCATGAGGCATGACAATAAACTGGCCTTATGCAGCTCTGAGCAAAAGACAACAAAAATAAAGAAGAATCAATGAACATGACATATAAACAAAGAAAAATATCAAACAGCGTTATTTCTCTTCCTGAGTCACTGCAATAACACACTGTGATCATCTGCACTAACCTTCGTCTTAGAATCCACATTCTCCCTAGCAAAGAGCAGTGGTGAGGTTCATCATCCTAACAAGGTGGATGGAACAGCAGCTGAGCAGTCAGGCTAGAGGGAAGTGCTATGGCAGCTGAAAAGCTTCTCCATGCATCTGTGCTCTGACAGACTGACAATTCTAGAAACAAGAGATTTTGCCATACTGGAAGCAGTGCTAGCTTGATCCATAAAACAAGCACAATCACTCACTTACCTCTATTTTGCACAAGAACCCAGCTCACCAAAACATTCCTGTCAAACCTTGGTAACACAACCAAGTGCAAACACAAGCATATGAAGCACATGTTCATCAAAGGTGGAAGTAATAACCCAGTGAACACCTAACAATTTTATTTCCAATTAGTGCTCCAATGTATTTTGAAAAGTAAAATTTGATTGTGTAGATTTCCATAACGCATTCCTATCAGTATACTTGAAGAAAATAGAAGATATAAAGAAAATTCAAGTAGATGACACATCTAAATAAAGGAAAGGGGAACATCAGCTGTAAACAGAAGCATGAGATGAGACAGAAAAGGAAAAGAACAGCATGGCTAACAGCAGTAGCAGAAAGTAGCAGAATTTAGGAAGGAAGAAAGGAATCCTGCCATGCCTATATTTGCAGCATGTCTGGTTAGACATAGCTCCGGCACATCAATATTACCTGATAAATCAAAACAAGGCACTTACACAACGCACAGCCTCATCAGGCAGTTGTGAAGATCCACCTAGGTAAACAAATAGTTTTCTCATTCATTGCACTCATCTGCTGTGTAGTTGGGGTGGCTTTTCAGTGGAATTCCAGGTTTGCTATAAGCTTAAGATTCAGTTTAATTCAGACCTTTCACGTTACACATTTGTTCTCTATTATGAATATTCTTTTATTTAGACTGACTTCCTCCCATGTAACCTGTTTCTAAATCTTACTGCACATCTAAATACCATCAAAATGTGCACTGGAACCAAATTTAGTCAAACATTTTAATGAAAATCCAAAGTCTTACACAGTGGTTTAAGAGCAGAAAAGACAGTTAAGTCACTACTAACAGCATGCCTAAATTTAATAACCAAATACTGTCTTTTATACCTTGCTTGTCTGTTTTCTGTGCAAGTATGTGCAAAACACTGCTAAAACTTACACATCAAAATTCGCTCCTAATACTTGGCAAATATGACCTTGACATTATTTGAAACTCAAGACCTCCTCTGTTTCCAGCTAAGGTGCCAACATTATAATAAATCAGAATAATAGAAAAAAAACATTGCTTAAAAAAAAAAAAAAAAAAAAAAAAAAAAAACACAAAGCTGTCTACCAAAAAAAAATGTAAGTCTTGTCAACTTTACTGATAAACTGTTTGGCTTGGAGGTCATGATGGAATTGATTTTTTTTTTTTTTAATTAAATGATTAGCAATATACAACTTAATGTAATTGTAAATTATATGAAGGAAATGAACAGTTAATAACTCATCATTACCTTTTGGAATTTAAGGAGGAGTAAATATCATATTAAGAATATAAAATAAGCAGAAAGGAAATTGAAAATGAATGGAATTGCCTCTTTAATTAGTTTGGCATTTGAGCTACAGAACTTGATGCCGAGAACACCAGAGCTTCACATGGGTACAAGGTAAGAATGAGTTCATGGAGATGAAATTCACAGAGGAAATTTAGGTCTTCAGTGTACCCGTGCTTTAAAGTTCCTGAGCTGTAGGTTATTGCAGGCCGAGTAAATACTTACAAGGCGGAGCCAGGTAAAGAAGGATATGCTCAGCTTTCACATCCATCTGTATGGGGTATTGCCAAAGGCTCTTGAGAGATCACTGATTTCGTATGCTTTTACGTAACCTTTGTAGAAATTCCATAATGGAAAACATTAATTGTTAACGCCAGGACTTATCCAGACCTGCAAATGTGTGGCAGCCTCCTTCATGAGCATCTTAAGCAAGCTCCATGAGAAGACAGGGAACTATCACAATCCTAATGTTTGAAGGCCTCTAGGACACTCACAATCATAACCAGATGCTGCAAGAAGACCATGCAAATGGACTTTCAGACCTTAATTGTGTATCACAAAGTCCCAGAAGGCCTGCAGCATACCACATCTCAGTGAATGAGGAGCTGCAGCACCTGAGAGGTACAACTATCCTGAAGATACGACGTCAATACTGTCCTTTTGTTGCAAAAAAAGGAAATGCTTCATCACCTTTGCAAGCACAGCAAACAGGTTAAGAGAAGGAAAGCTTTCAACAACTATCATGCCTCCAATACTGCTTCCTCATTACCTCCATTTTCTCTCTGCACCCATTTCCACGCCATCAGCTGCATCGCTCCCTGGCCCTGGTGCTCCCCACCTGCCTGGCACTGGCACATTGCCACTGCAGCATCAGCCTTTGAGGTGTCACCTGGAGCCCATGGTGATGCTCTGGGGCCACCCAGACTGACTGAGGATTCCTGGAGCAGGGCGTGGGGCTCCGCTCCTCCCAACCACCTGAACTATTCTAATAAAAAACAACACTTCACCTTCAGCATCTCGTCTTGCTTTTCACTTTTAGGTACGTATAATTGTATTGTTCTCATTCACTGGCCATTCTGTCCCTTAATAACCTGCTGCTTAGATAACGAGCATCACTCACAGCTGCAAGTCCACAGAAACACACGCTAAGACACTAAGCCCTGCAAGCAGCGTTACTGCAACTATTTTCTAGAAAGAAAAAGAAACCAAGCTTAGGATTTGCTTCTCGAAGTTCCATCGTGAGCTAAAGGGAAAACACAAAATAAAGGGAGCACAGGGATGCGTTATCGCTAACCAGCGCTATTGGGTGGAACGCGTTTGCAGGACAGGGCTTGGCCCCAGCGTTACGTAAGGCGGGTGGTCCTCCCGGCCCCGGCAGGCAGCAGGGCAGCAGGAGGGACGAAGGCTCCCGCCCCTCCGTTACCGAGGCCGCCGCACAGCCCCAGGGCACGGGCGGGCAGCTCGGCGGCCGCCCCCGCTCTAAACGAGAGCGGGCAAGGAAGGGAGGGGAGAGAGGCACGTACCTTCCCCTTTCGCCGGCTCCGCGACACCCAGCATAGCGGCAGCGAGCTGACGGACCGACGTGTGCTTCAGCCGGGCGGAAAAGGGCAGCCGGGCGGCCGCAGGAGAAGCGAGCGGAGGGCGGCGGAGCCGCTCCTTCCGCCTTGGGCCGCGCGGGGTGGGCTGAGGGCGGCTCGGCTCCGCCCGGCCGTGGGGCTGCCCGCCTCCTCACAGCGCTCCGCCCCGCCGCGCCCGGCTCTCAGCCGCGACGTGCGGCCGTGTGTAGAAGGAGCGAGATGAAGCCGTGTGCTTGAAGCGCGGGGGAGGGAAGGGGCAGACAAAGCCTGGGTGCGCCCTTCGGTGCGGTACGTCTTGCATCTGCACCAGGAGGGTGGATAACGGCGTGAGCCTGGCTGCCCAGAATGCTAAAATGCGTTAAAGCAGATTGAAAATACGAGATACTGGGCATCAACTTGTAAAAAAAGCTTAAAAAGTAGCAATAAATCTGTTCTCAAAGCACAAGAGTGCTGCCTCATTCCATCACGTGAGGTGTGAATGGGGTTCAGAGCAGGTGAGGCCCTGAAGGAAGGAATGGAATCCCTTAGAAGGTTGGAAGGGGCCTCTGGAGATCATAGAATCATAGAATCGCTCAGGCTGGAAAACACCTTAAAGATCATCAAGTCCAACCGCAATCTAACCATACTACCTGAACTCCAACAACCCTCTGCTAAACCATGTCCCTGAGCACCGCATCCAGATGGTTTTTAAACACATCCATGGATGGTGACTCAACCACCTCCTGTGGAGCCTATTCCAGTGCTTAACAACCCTTTCTGTAAAGAAGCTTTTCCTGATACCCAACGTAGACTTATCCTGGTGCAAGTCAAGGCCATTTCCCCTCATCCTGTCACCTGTCACCAGTGAGAAGATCCCCAAGTCCAGCCCGCTGCTCAGGCAGGCTGCCTGCAGCAGGTTGCACATGTAGGTACCCAAATGGGTCTTCAGACTTCACAACCGCCCCAGGCAGTCTGTGCCAGGGCTCCATCACTTTGACAATAAAGAAGTTCTTCTGAATGTTCCTTTGGAACTTCTGCGTTCCAGTTTGTGCTCTTTACTCCTTGTCCCATCACTGCACACTACCAAAAAGAGCCAGACCCCAACAATTTGACTCCTGGGCTTTAGATATTTATAAGCATTGATACGATCTCCTGTCCATCTTCTTCAGACTGAACAGTTCCAGGATCTCAGCCTTTCCTTGCATGGAGCTACTCCAGGCCCATAGTCATCTTTGTGGCTGTCTACTAGACATGTTTATCTAAGAGGACCAGAGGGAGATCTTCATGCTATTTTCTTTTTTTTTTTTCCTTGAGATATATGTTGGAAGAGCTGTTTCAAATGGAAGCTGTGGTAGAGAGAAGGTAAAAAAAAAATCCATTGGAGAATATCTAAATGGTTCCAAGAGGAATCTGGGCAATTGCAAACCAGTGAGGCTAATTCCTATGTTGAATGAACTGATAAAAACAGAGGCAAGAATGAGTGGAACAGAGATAAATCTGTTGCACCAGAGAAAAGTCAGCAGTATTTTTTATGGCCGTACATGACTTGCTCCAAAAGTAATGTCTCCTATTTATTTCCAAGGAAACTGCAACAGATAAAACAGCACAGTAACGCTATTTGATAACATTGTAGAGCAAATTCTCCGCTACAAAAAACTGTTTTTCAATGTAGTCACCACCATTAGCTGTGCATTTTCCCCAGTGATGAACAAGAGCTGCATACCACGCTAAAAAAAGTCTACACAAGCAGAGGTGACCCACTGTCGCTGTCACCACTGCTGAAATGCTCCACCCACCACCTCACTGTGCTCACAGCCATTGTTTGGTTCTCTAGAAATGTTCAGCAAATGTCAATGAATGTCAGTAGGTGCCTTTTTTTCCTCATGGAAAAATTGAGTGAAACCTTCACTTCATACGCGCTTCCATGTCAGACTCCGTGCTGTCAGACTGCCCCTATCCTGCTGCTATCTGTCATACAGCAACAACACGTAATGGGATATTTTGGGAAGGTTCAGCCTATGCTGCCATACAACCAACAGCTGCCTCTGACTGGCATTGCTTTCAGAGCAGCCTTTGAACATCTCATTTCATGAATCCCTGGTGTTCTTTGGAGTATGAACACATCTGGACAAGGAAGAACATGGAAAACCCAAACGACGTTTTGAGAGGAGCCTTCATTGAAGGCTCTTAGAAGGCCAAGCTGTCATGGGATAGAAGTTACAACCTTCAGAGAGATAAACTCCAGCCAGAAAGGTAGGATTAATTAACCATTTTTTCAAATGGGGTGGCATAGCAGGTAAGGTTGTACATTTGTGCTAAAATAAGTCCTGTTCAACATATCAAGAAAACTCCAGAAAAGGAGGTGAAGAGCAGAGCAGTAAAATTTGTTGTACATACTGAATTACTGTACTTAGTAAAAATTATGTAACACTGCATAAAGACCTCTGAATTCTAACTGGTGGAGCAGTAAAATGATAGATACATGCTGATGCATGAGATTGAAGTCCAAGAGTAGGCTCTATATGAATGGTTGCTGTTCCTGAGAGACCTGGGTGTCACGACAGGTATTCGGTGAAATCTCAGAGCCATGTGCTCCGTTGTGGTCAAAATTGAGTGAGATTTATTAACCATCAGGAAATGGGCCCTGTAATTCCATAAGCAGCTACGATACACTCATCTCTTGCATGTGGTCTGCAGTTCTAGCGGTCCCATCCCTCAGAAAGGTTATAAAACACTACAGAAACTATGGATGTAACAATGCTTTTCAGACATGTGAAATTTTTCTGTATATGGAGCACTAAAATAAACAGATGTCTGAAGATAAGCCAACAAGTACAGGAGGTAGGAGAAATGATGCCTGAAGCTAGTATGTATGAAACTGAATGCACAGTGATTCCTTATTGCCTTTCTGTTGCAGAATTTATGGGTAGCAAGCTAAGCTAAGCCATAAGAAGCAGTGTCCAAACAAAAATATTTTAATGTATTCTTAGTTTCATTGGAAAAATCACAGTTTCCAAAAGTTTATAGGGGTTTGCAAAAAGGTGAGGCAGATTTGTTGAAGGGAAATGCACCAGGGGCTGTTGAGCTTTTAAAGCTGAAGAGTCCAGAGTCTTTAGTCTTCTGGAGGTTAGGGAGTCCCAGTGCTCTTCCCTTAACATCAGTTGGTAGATGCTGTCAAAGACAGTCAGGGCTCTTAACTTGATCTAATAAAGTTTTCATATTCCTGTTTACAACCAGCATTACTTTTTCTGAAATCCTCATCAAGCCCCGCAGGTCATTTCTCATTTTAGGACTCAGATTGTGTAATACATGTTTAAATGATCCAAAGGCCATCCAGATGCTTGAGATACTGTTGTTCAGAGTACATTTTGTTAAAGTGCTTATTGAACTTGATTGTCAGCAGCAAGTAAGTTCATGGGTGTGTGTGTTACAATGGTGACATTTTATCTGAGCTGGAATTGATAAGTTCCTGCAGCCAAGTTCCAGGTGAGTGCTTTGCTTCACGTGGTAGAAAAGCAAGGTGACATTTGGCCTGGTCTGTTTTGTATGGACTATATGTTATGGACTTATTACTGGCCATGATGAGGATAGATGGCAGAAAGCAGGAGGATGGCAATCGAGTCATTACTGGCAGCATGATCATGCCAAGTGGTAAATTGTGGACGTTATTTGCACAGGAAAAGTATAAGCCAAGTTTTTATGTGAAATTTGGTATACAGTTTTTACAGTGCATGTTCTCAGTGACTTTTAATTTATTGAGACCATAAGGTTGCTTATTAGCATAAATTTTCATGATGGTTTCCCAGGAGGAATTGAATGCATGAACAACTCTTTCATTCTGCTTGAATTGCAGAGGAGTGGCTTAAAGCATTCTCACCTGTATTTTGTTCAAATAAGGTTCTGTGATAAGCTTGCATTGCTTAAGACATTGCTAATATACATGATTATCCTTAGTGTTAATAATGATTATAGTAGTTCAGTACAAGATAACTGTTCTTTGATGTTTTTTCCGACATATTTGTAATGTGTTCTTTTTGAATTAACAAATACATATAATACATGAACATTGTGCATTATAGACTTGTAGTTGGTTTGGGTGTTTTAACAGGTAGTGAACAACAGAAGTAGAGGTTAATCGAAACAGTATCTGCTGAAGAATCAGTAATCTAATGGTGAAGAAAGAAACAAAGCAGGTGGAGTGACTGTTTGGGGGGCAGCATGTTTTGTTAGCTCATCATCTTGACTCATCACTGACCTAGTCACGATGTAGTCATCTGTGGCATTAGACAGTAATTACTTTCGTGATTGTATTGATTTTCAAATGTTCTTCACATAAGGAGAAAAATTTCTTAACACCTTAAGGGCATCTACAGTTGACGAACTTACTTCTTAAGCCAAATTTCTGTCTGTGCTATAGGAATGGAAGGTTTGCTGTCTGCGGTGTTCAAACATCATTTGATATGGAGAAGCATTTTCAGATCACAAATCGTTCTCTATTTCTACAGGTATAATTTCTAACTAAAGGAGGAAAGTGGTACAGTATGCATGAATACATGATTTATCTGGTAAATTATCAGAAAATATATAAAAAAAATCTTTTTTAGTGTTTGTCAAAGAATATAAATGCAGTTACTCTCTGGGTGTTCAATTCTTCTCTGGTGGTTTGAGTGCAACGAAAAGGCATTTCTGGTCTCTGTTACTCCTCCTTAATGCACACACAGAAGGGAATATAGTAAATTCAGGTGATAAGAGAGAAAGGTAATTTCGTAAGAGTGACTTAGATTCAAGATACAAGAATTTACAGGCAAAGCTTTAGTCTTCTTGCTGTTAAAGCACAGTGTTTCTGAACAGCTTACCAACAACTTTGTTAAGTAGAATCTGTCACAGGGCACTGATATACTTCTGTTTGAAGTAGTCCATATGTCCACAGTGTTGCAAATATTTAAATTAACTTATCAATTAATTTATTAAATTAAACTATCAATACGGGGAAAAATGGCTTCTGCACAACTTCAGGTCCCACTTTCTTCAACTTTTTTCCCAATTTTTATTTATATGCAATCTTCTCTTTTCTCTTCTCTTCTCTTCTCTTCTCTTCTCTTCTCTTCTCTT